ATAACATGGAATTGCCCCAGATGGAAAGGCTATCCAAAAGGAGGTGGACAGCCGCAAATATGAGAGATGCCCACTGTGCCCTCTGTGTGCCCAGCTCTGGGACATACATCCCAATCTAGACCACGCTCATGGCTACGCTGGGGAGACAAGGCTGCCTTGCCTCTGAATTCTAACACTGAGCGCTGTGTCCTGGGGGGAGGGGTGCTTTCTGTTCCAACAAACGAGAGTGAAATCTTCCCAGGACACGGGCTGGGCCTCCACCTCCTGCCTGTCTTTCCTTCAGCGGCCCAGCACCTGGCAGGGCACTCAGTGCCCAGGGCAGATGTAAGTGCTCAAAGGTGGGGAGGTGTTGGCAGAGCTCACCTTCCTCCTCCTGAGCACCGTTCCCTGGTGCCCGCCTGCTGAGCTCCTGCTGTCCCACCGCTGTGCCTTCATCTCATGATGGCCACTGAGAACTCCCTCCCCCACACCTTCTTTCTTCTCCTCCAGCTCCATTCTCCTCCTCAGGGCCAGCCCCGGTGCCTACTCTTCCCGGACCCTCCCCTTCCCTGGACTCTCACCTGGGCTCCCACCACCCCTGACCTGCAACTGTGCTGACACTGGGCACGTAAAGGAGCAGTGTGGAACAGTGGGGAGGGGCACTGCGGAGCCCCACAGACCCATGTTCTGACCTGGCTCTTCCACCCGGGTGAGCGTGGCAAGTCCCTTAACCTGATCAGTGAAAGGAAGATGATCACTCATGCTCCAGGTGGACGGTCCTGAGGATTTAGAGACAGCACAGGCAGTGTCCGGAGAGCAGGCAGGCAGCTGATGGCCGCCATTCGTACCTGCAGTTGGGTATTTCTGTCTAAGGTCATTCTCCCCATGAGATGAAGAGCACTTTGAGGGCAGGGGTAGGGCCCAGGACCCAGCAAAGGTTGAAACAATGAGTGAATGGATGCAATGTCTGGGGACGGGCAGGGGACTCTGAGAAGTTTGCCCCTCACCGGCAAGATGCAGGCAAAGAGCCCACACCTGGCCCACACCTGGGCAGCTTCTCCCCCTCCCCTACCCCTCTGCCATCCTGCCCCATTCTCAGCTCTCGCAATGACAGCCCCCCCCCAGTGACTTTTTCCCTCCTGATTATGCTTTTAAACAAAATTTATAAAGGTTTTCATACATTTTAAAACTGATTTACACGCTTTAATAAAAGCATGTGGTGGACAGGGAGTTTCAGGCTGCAAATTTTCTGTAATGAAACTGACGTGAGCACATGCTGGATTATGAAGGTTGGGAGCTGTCCCCTCCTCAGCCCCCAGGGGCTGCCTACTTGATCAGGACTAACAACTGTGCTTCTTGCTTGGCAGACCACGGTGAGCTGGGACGGGGACAAGCTCCAGTGTGTGCAGAAGGGCGAGAAGGAGGGACGCGGCTGGACCCAGTGGATTGAGGGTGATGAGCTGCACCTGGTAGGTTCCTGAGCTAGGCCAGGCTGGGCCCCAAGAGGCCCTCACCACTGTTAAGGGCCAGGGGCCTGGAGAAGATGCTTGAGAGACTTAAAAACCCGAGCAAGTTTTGAAGGTCCAGGCTGACCCAGTGGTCTAATCTGAGGGATAAGGGAAGAGGTACATCTACTAAGCATCAGCAAGGAGCCCTTTGCATCCCATATCTCTTTCTATTCTCTCAAAATAGGAATATGGTTCTTATTTTAGAGATGAGGATGTGGGGGCTCAGAAAGTTAGATTACACGTCCAAATTGCACATCTAGAAAGTGGCAGAAGCAAATTTGCTCCCAAATGATGTATATATTCACCATGCCAAATTGTGCAGGCCAGAGCCAAGAATTCTCTAAGCTGCCCTAAGACATGATCTCAGTCTAGGTCAGGGAGAGGGGAGGGGGAGGGAGAGGGGAGGCACAGGGGTCCTGTTGGTCAGCTGTGAGCCACATCTGTTCCTCCCAGCCAGCTCTGTCTCTAGTGTGCTGCAGAGCCTGATCTCCATTATACAGTTTAGCCGACTCTCCAAAAACTTGGTTAGTTAAACCAACTCTTAAGGGAGGTTAGCAACCCTAGTGAGTATTTTCAAAGTTCCTGCCCCTAGATGCACTATGCCCCATGTGTGACTTTGCTCTGGCCAATGACCAGCATCTGCTTTTGTTTCAGGAGATGAGAGTGCAGGGTGTTGTCTGCAAGCAAGTATTCAAGAAGGTCCACTGAGGCCCAGGGAAATCATTGGTGTCAAGGAATGAGTGGTGTGGGTGTGTGGGCCCGGATCCCCCCCCCTTTGCACAGCAGGGGGTAGCCACACCCAGGCATCTGTTAGAAGAGTCAGTCTCTTGGCTTTGTCTCTTTTCCTTTGCTTAAAACAGAGCCATACCAATAAAATGATCTCTGTTCAAGATGTTTGTTTTAGGGAAGTCTCACACCCCACTATGCTCACTTTTCCCCAGGGCTTCTGAGGCTAGCTCCTGATGGCACTCATGAGCAGAAGGGAGAAATTCAGCCACACATCTGCAAATTTAGTCCTGAGGTTGCACCTGTGCATGTTTTTCTCCAGGGGAACAGGTTTGGGTCTGCAGGGTGAGTGTGACCTGACATTCAATCACCTGCATATTAAAAACCTGCCATGTAATGTGTCTAACTGGGGCGAAAAAGTACAGCGAGTGCCACAGAAGCCGGAGAAGATACCTTCCACCCTGGGAACTTAGACCTAGTTAGGGAGATCCGAACAACAGAAAATAGCTTCATAACTGTGCTGTACAAAAAGGAGATGCTCCATAATTATTTGTGAATGAAATGGAATTGGAATGAAATGGAATTGAACTTTAAACCCAAATTTAGAATGAGGTAAACCTTAATCAAAGGTAATTACCTACTGGATTTGATTTCAGAGATGTCATGAACACACAGTTTACCACCCCAAGACCATCCCCACCCCGTCAATGGGCTGATGTAAAGCCTTTCTGTTCACTGTTACAGATGAGGCATAACTTGCAAATCCCCCTAGAAGAGAGAGAGCAGCCTCATGTTCATGCCAAAGTGTAAACGATGCTAGCTGTGCCTTTGCATAGAGAAACACAGGGAAACCCAAGGGGGAATGAGGAGGAGTGGACGGTCATGGACAGGGAAAACAGTCAGAAAAGGGGAGACTCACAGTGAGGACCCCTTGGTCAACCTGACAGCTGCCCGGGCTGTTCTCCACTCCTTGAACAGAGCACTGAGTTAGGAGTCAGGTAAGTTGAGTAGAAAGCTCAACTTCACCCCTCATAGGGCAACTCCACACCCCTCTGGAGTTGCTTCTCCAGCCAGAAAACCACAATAATAACCCACCTCACCTCCAGCACAGATGGGTTGTGTAGCTTGTAAAACACATGAAACTTATAGACTGTGAGGCACTAGACCAGTGGTTCTCAGACCTGGCTAAATGTTAGAACCACCTGGGAAGCTTTCAAAATTCCCTATACGTGGACCACTCCCCAGAACCAGTTACATCTGAATGTCTCAGAATACCAGGCATTACTATTTTTTAAGTCTCCCAGGTGGTTCAAATGTGCAACTGGAGTTGAGAGCTGCTGCCCTGGACCGGTGGTTCTCAACTGGGGCCATTCGGTGCTCTCCCCACCCCCAGCTCCAGGCGCATTTGGCAACGCCTGGAGACATATCTGACTTCACAACGTGGGTGCAGGGCGCTACTGGTATCTCTTGGTTGCCAGTGATGCTGCTGGACATCCTGTTATGCACAGGACAGCTCCCCACAACAAATATCTGGCCCAAAATGTCAGTAGTCACAAGGCTGAAAAACCCTACCTTACACAATGTAAGAAATTTTTGTTAGTTTTTTATTATAGAGATCATTTCCCTAGCCTAGAGCAAGGAAATGAAAACCCAGAATTGCCTAAGATCCTGGAGACCCCTGCACCTTTGTGGCCCTGATCTCTGTCCCTGAGGTTAGAAAACTCAAAGGTAAAGATTCTTATAAAGACCATTCATTCATCTCACAAATATTTAATGAAGGCCTATTAGGTGCCATGCACTGATCTAGTGCCATCTGTTTTGGACATCCAGAAATGTTTGGAACAACACGAGTTTCATCCACGCCAAGTACTGAGACCCCCATCAGACCTCCACCCACAATACATAAAACGCCTCACCTGACAGGCCCCGGTGCAGATTCAGAGTTGTGGTGCTGTTGGCATGAGTGTGCATGGAAGGAGGGATTGTGGCCCCACCCTCAGGAGCCTCTGGTCCCAAAGGAAGATTCAGAGCTACTGTGATTGAACAGCTAGAATATTGGGATCAATCTTAGTAGGTAGTGGGAGCCACTGGAGGTTTTCGAGTGGGAGAGAGACACCATCAGCCTTTGAGCAGAATTAATCTAGCAGCCATTCTTTCAGAAGTAAAAACAGAAAGAGTGAGAAATACCAGTTAGGAATACCAGTTATCATAGGATAGTCACATTTAATTCAAAATTCACTTCATATGAGACTAATCTTCCCAAAGAAATACATACAAAGTGAGAGTAACATTTCTTATTTTACATAAATCTCTAATCGCAGAAACAGGCTCTGGCTTTAATGCTGCTTTTCATTGTCTCATCACCATCCAAAATTTTGCATGGCTTGCACTTAACTTGGCAGCATCATGGTGGTTGTTTAGCCTTCCTGGCGGCATTTTAGCACCTCTCAACCTCCGGTCCCAAGCTGCCGGTGGTAGCTCCATTTTTGGAACATTACCGCAAGCTCCACCACTTAACCAGCACTTGGATGCCATTGTTATGGGATGTAAGAAAGGAGTTTCAATTCTAACAGTGTCTGATAACAACCAGGTACTAATAATGGAATCACTCACCGACCTTCCAAAGCACGGCAACAATACCGTGATGCCCACAGCAGCTGACGAAGGATGAGGTTGTGTGTCACCCACACCCATCACCGCTAGGTTGTGGGAATAGTTAACATATCTCACACTTCCCTGTGTCTGCCAACTTGGAAAGTATGGGATTTTTGACATTTTGAACTGAAGTTCACAATATTTCACAATATGCTCTAAGTGAGAACTTAGTAATATATTTACATCACATAATTTCAAACTTTCAAAACCCAGAACTGCCATGTGCAGCAACTCAGGCAGGAAGCACTGGGATCCCAAGGTCCTTCAAATGTCATTCTCTGGGCAGCCTCCAAAACTATCCCACAAGAAAATCCTGACAAGGTGAACCCCAAGAACCTCTCTGGAAGCCCTAATTTGTAATCTCTGTCTCAATTAACTAGGACATTTCTACTGTTGCTTACAGGAGCACACTAAACAGCTCAACACTGCACTGCAATTAAACTCTGCTTAGCTCTGCTGGATGTCCCTTATCCGCACGGATACCGATGGGAGCGATGCCCTCATGCCACCTCACCCCCACCTGTAGATCTGGAGCTCTCAGAACCCTGAGTTTTTAGGGGCTTCTTCACCTCTTCCACCCAGCCCCACATCCCACTCTGAACTGGGGGCTTGCAGGGCTGAGTCAACGTAGGTGGTGGGGACCTGCTAATTATCCACGTCACAGGAATGGGCTTTCTGTTCAGAGGGAGTTGGGACAAGGATAGGGATGGCTGTCCCTTTGTAAAAAAAGGACTCGGTTGGCTCTGACAGGGACACTTAACAATGATGACATTCCCCATCCTCTCCTTTCAATTATCAAAACAAACCCGCCAGTCCTTCAGAGACATGTGTGGGGTCCTCCTATCCCCTCACCAACAGCCCGCAAGATCCTCCATTCTGAAAAAAAATGAACATAAATGTATTTATTACCACTAATCTGTACACTTAAAAATGGTAAAGATGGTAAATTATATATGCATATTTTACTTCAATAAAACATTTTTTAAAAGACTAAAAAATAAAAGATCCCCCCTTCTTTGAACTCCAAGCCTCTCAAGAGTGAACCTGGCCACCTCCCCTTTTTAGACAGACTCCCGAATAAAGAAATACTAGTTCAGCTCGTTCAGAATGACAACAGAATTACAAACGTTGTGGATTATTTAAATGGTTACATATAACAAGTTAAATACTTTGGTACACAAAAATACAATGTATTATAATGAGGTGGTGCTAGTTCCAAGATACTTATAAGGTCTATAAAATTTATGAATTCCTAGTGTATCTGATGCAGTCTGGTGCACAAGTTTAAAGGTGGAGAATGAACTTAATACTGTCTCATCACTGTCTCCCTGCAACCTTCATGTGTCAGTCCATTTGAAGATAATGTCAAGAGTTGAAAAACCCTTCAAGAATGTGATGCCGGGGCCAAATGGTTCTTCTCCTCCAGCACTGCACGCCCCCACTGGAGGCCCTGTTTGAAATCCTAACACTTAGCTCTGATTCTAACCAGTGTCTTAGACACCCCTCGTGGACATCAGTCACATCTGTGGCTGCCCGCCATCTTGTGGACAACTCTCCCATGTCTGGGGAATTTCCTTCAGTAGGAATTCCATCCCTCCCAGGTATCAGCAGAAGAAAGAACTCACTTTCCCAGCCTGCCTTGCAACCACACTGCAGGCATGAGGCCGAGGTCCCCTTAGTTCGATGCACCCCAGTGAAGAGATTTAGAAAGAGAACTCTGTGAAGAAGGTGGATTACGCAGATTCGATCCTTTGGAAATGGTGGCAGCAGAGGGATTGGCTTTGGAATGGCAGCAGTGGTGGAGCTTCTGGTTTTTGGTATCCAGTTTCACGGGCATTGTCTACGCTGGCAGAGGACAGTAAGTAGCACTGCAGGGTAGATTGTGCATTGCTTTGTGATGCATAGCTTCCGAGCTGATTCTAGAGAGTGTGGGATACCTATTCCTTTTCCACTTAGACTAAAGTGGGTTCTGTTTGTAATAAAGAACACTGACTGCCACACCATTTGGTGGGTATCTGCCCATCTCATAACCTTCCCTTGTTCTCTGAGACCAGCCCCTTACACAGGTGCTGAGGAGGAGACCGAGCTGCTGCACAGCTGGGCTTCCCTGCCCACCTGCAGCCATAGCTGATTGGACCAGGGGCAGATGGACACTTGACTCATCAGGGCCAATCAGCTCTCTCCTGGGAACCGGAACTGGGATTCAGAGATGCCCATCAGTCTCTGCTGTTGCTCGTCTTGAGGACCCAAAGTCTGGGACGGGAGCAGTGAGAGGGGCGTTTTGTGTCTTGTGAATGGAAAGGCAGAGAGGGCATTTCTGTAGAGAGAACAGTGAAACAAACGGGCAGAGAGAGCCTGGGAAGTCAGCTGCTATGATCTTGGACATGACAATCCTTTGTCAGACCAAGTGACACTTCTCAAGAGTTATTCCTGTAACCTCATATCACATTTCTCTTTCAGGCTTAAGCCAGTAGGGTTTTGATACTTTAAACTAAAAAGGAATCTTTTC